ACTCCTAAATTCCTTGGAATTTCCTGCATGATAGGAGAGTCTTTTTTTCTAATAAAGTGCCACTTGGTGGGCTCCTGGAGGGGGCTGGTCACCAGAAAGATCAAGTCATAATTCGAAGCTTGAAACCTTCAGCCCCACTCCCCATTTTCCAGGAAGGGGAAAGGAGCTGGAGATTAAGTTAATGATGAATCATTAACTCATCATTTCACCCCCAAATTGTTCCCTCATTTTTGTTTTGCTAGTTTCCTCAAAGATGATATCAGATTTTCACTTTTTAGGACTTGAAACTATTTTTTTTTTGTCCTCTTTTCCTCACCATTTTATTTCCAAACCCATTTTCACAAATTGATGGTGATGTTCCTCACTTCATTTCTTCCTTTTTTCTATACTGTTTTTTTCCTAGTCCAGTGGATGTGGGTCATTTTTGGGTCACATATTACTTTGAGAGTTATGAAATCCATGGGCAGATGGGAAACCACCTACTGGATGGGTGACTCTAGCAAGTTACTTAATTCCCCATGCTTTAGTTGCACCATCTATAAAGTAGAGAGACTAACAGTAGAAATGTGAAGCAGATGCTTTTCTTGTCCCTCAGCCCACTTTGAAACCAGTCTGGCGATGGAGGAAAGTTCTGGGCAGCTGCCAGCATTCCACCTCACGCATGCTGAGTTATGTAACTCTGCTCTTCTGCCTCTGGGCTTTCTCCAGTGGCAGCATAGCCTGGGAGTATCTGGAAATTCAAATCCCTGGGGACAACCCTTAACCAATGGTGGATGGCAGTCAGTGGATATCCTCTTCCTGAGGATAACTCCAAGGCACAGTCTACATTGTTTCTCAGAGGGTCCCTAACAGGATAAAGAGCCAGTTATATAACCAATTTAATAGTCATCCTTCCTTCCTTATCTCACTCTCCCTGTCTTTATTTCTGCCCCTCTCCCCCACACCAGATCACATCCCAAATAAACTACTTGCATCCATGCTCTACTTTTAGGGGAACCTAAACTAAGGCAGTAAATCTATCAGTTAGGGTCCAAGTAGGAAAAAAAACGAATCCTTTAAGTTGTACAATTGAAAAAAAAAATTGGTAAAGGGAGTATTTATGCAGATGAGGTGGGGTTAGGAAAACAAAAGATGGTATAAAACCCAAGGGCTGGTAATGGTGGGGAGCCATTACTACCCTTAAGTCTGAGGGAGCCTTGGCCTCCAGTGGAGGGATGAGGGCAAGGACTAGTGTAAAGCAAGCAAGTACATCCAGCAGAACATTTAGGAGGCACTCGTTCTCAGGTTCACCCAAGAGCCAGCCTGAGAGTGAGTGCCTCTTTAAATTTTGTATCCTAGGCCCCTGCTTATGGCACCCTAGTCTCAGCCCCGAAACATAAGGAGTTATTTTTCTCTCATCCTTTGATTTCTTACTGATGCCTCCAATTTGCTGAACCCAAATCTGAAATCAGAGCTTAGGGGAGGTTTACATCAGCCTTCTAGGTGACAGAAGGGTAGAGAATGGTAAATGGAAAATATCTGATCCAGCGTAGTAGCTCATGGAGCTATGACAATTAGATGAATTAAGACATAAAGTGCTTAGAAAGGTACCTGAATCATGCTGTTGTTGTTACTGTTATTATTGTCCACATGATGCAAAAGTTTAAGTACGTCATCAGGGGTTCGTGGACTCCCTAAGGTACATATATATATATATAGACTGGGTTTAAGGACAAAGAACCCGTGCCTTCATTAAACTCTTTTCATTGTATGGTGAGCCTTCACAAAGCAGCCTTTAAACTTTTTTTTCCCCCTTCTAATCCAGTCTTCCCCAACCTTTTTACATCATGGCACCCATAGAAAATAGCAATATTTGTTCAACACTGGAGTGAAGAGATGAGGCTACCTTCAACCTGAAGCAACTGGCCCAGGGGCTCTGCCTGTCTCTAAGACTGAGGGAATCAGTATCTTAACATACCCATGCCAGGTGGAAAGTTCTGCTCAAATTTATTATCTACCCTGCCTGCTGACACCAATTTAGCTTTCCTAAAACAGTAGTTCCATCACATCCTTTGCATCTAATGAACACTAATATCTGGAATTCTTGGTTGGATAGTCAAGATTAAGGCATGGAGTTGGAAGAGAACTCAAGAATCATCTCATTTATTCCCTTTATGAGCAAAGTGAAACCCAGCAAGGTTAAATGACATGTCCAAAACAACATGCCAATCAATATTCATTGACAAGGTCGTTCAAGTACCACCTCCTTCATGAAGGCTTCTCAGTGCACCCTGCTGGGAAGTGAATTCTTCCTCTTGTAAACTCTCTTAATACTCATTTAGATATCATACAGAAAGAGGAAGAAGATAAAGATATTTTTCAACCTGAGCTTCTCCATGTTAGATGAAGTGATCAAATACTGGGGTAAAGAATTTTATAACAGACTAGTTTCTAAAGTAGGATGCCAATTCACTGATCAATAGAACAGTTAAATGGATGTACAACTTAGGTTGGCTAGTCAATATAATCTAGGGTCAATAAGCTTTTTTCTGTAAAGGACCAGGTGTAAATATATTAGGGACACAGTCTCTGTTGCATGTTTCTTTTCTTTTCTTCCTTCCTTCCTTCCTTTCTTTCTGGTTGTTGGTGTGTTTTATTTTGTTGTTGTTTTTCAGCAATGCATTGAAAGCGTAAAAACTATCCTCACTTACTGGGTCAAAATAGGTGATAGGTTGCATTTGGCTGGGGGTCTTAGTTGCTGACTTTTTATATCTGTCGCCAGAAAGGAAGCTGACTTGGGAAACAAACTTATCAGGTTGCTTGGTAAGTAAAACAATCAGAGTAAAGGAATTTCAAATTCAGTTAGGCAATCTATACATTGGCAGTGTCTACATGTGCCAGGTACTTTTCGTGGTCCTAGGGCCACAGGGCCACAGTGGTGAAATAGGAAAGATGCAATTCTAATCCCCAAGGAGGTGATTAGGGAGTGGGTGTGTGATAAGAGATGACTAAAGCATTTAAGAGAGTGACATAATGATTCTGACTATTTTCTGTGTGGAAGCAAGACTGAGGTGGGACAAGAGGAAACGCAAGAGAAAAGCAGGTTAGAAGACTATTACAGTGGCTCAGAAGAGAGATGATTACCTTACACCAAGGTTGTAGTGGCGGAAGTGATGAGAAGGTTGGTTAAATGGTTAGATTGGGGATATATTTTGGAGATAGATCCCTCCAAACTTACCAGTGAATCAGATGACAATGCAACCAGGAGGTGCTGCCACTTACTGAAGTGGAAGAGGTTAGAAGGTAAAAGGGGTTGAGATCCAGGGCACAAGAGGAAGACTGATCCTGGGATAAGATCAGGGACAGTGGGAAAGTGAACTCACATGGGAAAGGCAGCAGAACTGTCTGGAAGCTTTGAGTGTCATTTGAGATGTTGGGTCATTAATTGGAATTCTTAGTGAGTTCTTAAATAGCACCCAATTTAACTCTACTGAAAATGTCTTTTTCCTATAAGTGGATTTTTCCCTTATCTTTTAAATTATGTAAATAAATATTATTAAATACCACAAAATATATGTAACATATCTATAAATTATAAAGCATAAGAATTTAATGCACATCTATGAACTCTCTACTCTACCTAAATTGGACATTTGCCAATAACTTACATTTACTTTGTGCTTCTTAATCCCATCTCCTGGTTACTCCATATCCTAAATTTTGTGCTTACCATTCTCTTTCTTTAAAATCACATATGTACTTTTTGATCTAAACAACTTTTGGTTTTCCCTGTATTTGAACTTTATAATATGGCATCTGGCATTTTTAAACTCAGCATTATGTTTCCAAAATATATCCACGTAATTACATGTGTTGATTCATTTCCTATGCTTAATTGTACAGCTATACTATAATGTAGTTACCCATTTTCCTATAGAAACACATTTCGGTTGTTTCCACTTTTTTGCTATTACTAACAATGCTTCTGTGAATATTCTATAGCATCCAAGAGTTTCCCAAGTGTGTATAGTTAGGAGTGGAAATTGCTGGATCATAAGTTGTGTAGGTTTGTTGCAAATTGTGCGAAATTGCTTTTCCAAGTGCGTATTACCAATTTACATTCACACCAGTAAGGTGAAGGAATTCCCATTGATGCATGTACTCTCTAGAATTTGGTAATGTCAGACTTCCTTAATTTTGTCAATTTACTGCATGAAAAACAGTAACTCGTTGAGGTCTCTTTTTTATTTCCCAGGCTAGTAGGAGACAGAACATCATTTCATATGTTTATTGGTCATGGCACTTCCTCTTCCATACTAGTATTTTTTATCTAACTTTCCTTCTCAATAACCTATCATCCTATCTCTGCCACTTCACGTTGGAGGTAAGACAAGAAGTACTGTAGGTCTTTTACCTGTAGTTAAGCAACAACTGACTCGCTTCTCCTGTTTCAGAAAATGTGGTAGAAAACACAGTGGAGAAGGGTGTAAAGGAGACCGACTCTCAACTCCCCGGATCACTAGAGTCCTTTCCTGGGCGAGCACTTCCGGACCATCAACATTTTTCTTAACCCATACCATATTAAAAGAGCAGTACACAAATCTACAGCAAAGATCAACAATCATGGTCATGAATTCTTGCGCAACGTTTCCCCAAAGCAAACTAGACACACAGGCGCCCCAAAACACAGACACAAACGAAAACAGAACCACGTGCTCTGGTCTTCTCCCGCTGCACAAGTCCTTTGAAACCGAACAGAGAAAAATTGTCTTAGCATCCTGTTTCACACTTTCGTCAATAGCTTTTTGGCCAAAAAAAAAAAAAAAAGTAAACAAAAAGTTTTGAAAGAACTTACTTAAAAAGATAATAATCCTTTGGGGGGAGTTGCGTTTTCTTGTCTTTTTGCTTTTGTGAGGATTTATTTTGAGTTACCGGACAGAGCCTTCTCAGCAGCACTTGTATGGAAACTGCGACGAGATGGGCGCAGTGGCTGGGGAGGCGGGGCGGAGGTGTGACGTCATCGCCGTGGGGCGGAGGCGACGGTGTCTGAGGAAAGGCTCCGCGTGCTGGCTGCCAACGCTGACCTCCCGGCTTGGAGGCAGGGAAAATACCTGCCACTGCCCGCTTTCCTTTGGTGGTCCGCTCACAACTAGTCCCGCCTGGAGATGGCAGACGATCTTGGAGACGAGTGGTGGGAGAACCAGCCTGCAGGAGCAGACCGCAGCCCAGGTACCCACTCTGCCTGACTCCCCCACCATCACTCCTTCGGTGAGCCTCAGCCCGCGCCAGCCTCTGGCGGTCACGGCGTCTGGCCCCGCGGTGGTGTGCCCAGCTGTGGGAACGCGCGAACATAGCGGATGAAGTGGTGCGAGAGCCTTATAACTAGGGGAAGCAGTGTGACTTTAACTCAGCTCTGCCCCCTGTCAGGAACGACCCTTTGCCCAAGCTTTTCCTTTTACATATTTCTTAATAGATAAGAGATTTTTCGTGAACTCAGGGAGTTTGGGCGTAGTGGTTAAGGGTAACTCCTGGATTAGATTCAGACTGCTTCTGTTCAAATCGAGACTCTGGCCCCTCTAATACTGTTTCGGCTCCTTTTCCCCATCTGTAAATTAAGAATAATCCAATTTCATAAGATTGTTATGAAGATTAAATAAACAATACAAATGATGCACTTTAGCACAGCGCTTGGCACATAAGATGTGCGAGGTAAATATAAGCTATGGTTTTTCTTGCTATCATCATCATCGTGTTATTTGGACTATTAAAGCCTGAAGGAGGTTTAGATAGCGATCATCCTTTTGAACTCAACCATTTTATAGAAGAGGAATATAAGATCTAAAGATATCAAGTAACTTGACAAGTTCACATAGCTAGTTGGTGTCAGAAATAAGACTAGAATTTAGTTAACACAATTCAAACAACTTACTATGCTACGCGTACCCACTGCCAATGCAGTGGATATTTTATCCATAAGTAGATAGCATTAAGTAACTCCTCACCACAGGCTTTGAACCTTTCAAGTTCCATGAAGCTTAATATATAGTTACGTGTTTTAATCATTCTTCAAAGTCTACCAGATTCTAAGATTTTTTTTAGGACAAAACCAAAGTCTGATCCATGTCATATAGTCCACCAGGCACTGCACATGATTGACACTTGATACAAATATATTTGCTGCAAACATTAATTTTGAAATATGTGTTGTGAAGTATCCATTAAAGCTGCAAAAATCTACAGGATTGTTTGCTGAAGGGTAGCCTTCGGGTACAAACTGAGTAGATGTCATTTTTAAAAAGGTAGCCAGTGTAATACTTCCTCCATTAAACTTCCTGACTCTGTTGCTACTTTGTTTCTAGGAAATACCTCTTGCAGGCTGTAGTGTTCCACATTTACTTTAATAACCCTTTCCCGCCCCCCTCAACTCAGGTGTTTAAAGCTATATTTTATGGTGTGATTTAAGTATAGAAGTCATTTAAGAAATAATTGAATTGCTTTTGAGTGGTAAAGGGGATCCTATTTCTTGATTCTAGCCCTGCCTCTTGCCTGTTACCAGCCATATGTCTCTCAAGTTAGTCGCCCTCTAGAAGGAAAGAAATTAACGTGTATTGAGTGTCTATTATGTGCCAGATATTTTCATAAACACAAATTCATTTAATCTTCATAACATGTTTAAAAGATAAGTAATTACTTTCATTTTTATAGATGAGAAACTGAGAAAAGTTCAGTAATGTTCTTAGAAACACACAGCAAGGAAGAGATCTGGGAAGAGGTTACACAAGTGTGCCTGAGTTTCAAAGTCATACTTTATCCACTATTACAATGTGGCTTTACTGGGCCTCAGTATCATGATCTGTAAAATGAGTTTTAACTAACCAACAGTTCTAAACATTGGATCTGTAGCCTCCTTCATGTAAGTTACCAGGATTCCCATCAAGATAGATATTAGAGTCACCCTGCTTCTTAGATCCCTTCTAGCTCTAACATTAACATTTGAAAATTGCTGACTTTAAATGTATCAGGATCATTTGCTTTGTTAACTGCTTTTAAGTATAGTGAGCATATAAGCTTCCTTGAGATTTGCTTGATTATTTGTCGGTGATTTGCCTAAATAATCTGTATGGTATTTCCAATTCAGAAGAAATCACAACTGAACCAATTCAGATTTCCTGATTCTACCTATGTTAATGGGGGAAAGATCAGCCTAAAATGTGTGAACTGTATTTTTTTTTGAAGGTCATAGGAAAAATAGTGCCTTAAGTCAGAGAAAGGAAAGATAGTTGTAATGATGCCTTCATTTCTGTTGTGTACTATGCTACTTGCTTATAAAAGCAAACATCTTTCCTTTCCATTCACACTTACAGTAGCAAGAAGCATTTAGCCATTTATTCAACAATCTACATCTACAACAAAGGCTCAACATTCATGGTAATGAATTCTTATGCATGTTTTCTAAAAGCAAACTATACAAACATACAGATTCCCAAACACTGATACACACTATGTAAAACATCTGTCTAACATATCCAGTTATCTACTTATTGTCTAAGGAAATGTAGTTTTTGCTTGTCTCATGTCTTAGATGTGGTAAGTAACTCAGAGACTCTTACTAAAGCTCTTGATCTACATATGACCCTTTTTTGCATACATCTTATGGCTATTCAGGACTTACACTCTTGTGCTAGAATCCTGCATTGTACTGGAGCCCAACATGGGACCTGGCACCTGGTGTTTGGGAGATATTAGCTGAATAAATGCATGCATGTGTGCTAGATGCTACAGAGTTCTTGGTGATCATGTATGTAGATAGACATATAATTTCTCACCCAATTAAATACTTTAAGAATGAAAGGCCATGCTATTAGAATTTTTCTGGGACTGTCCTAGTCTACCTGGGATGTCACCCTATTGGCGTCATTATTGGTAATTGGAGTCATGGTCCAGGATAAGACAACTGAGAGTTGTGTCTGCTGAAGAGTGTGCAGCCAGTGTGCTCAGGTAACAGAGCCTAGGAGTCATTTAATGGCATCTGACATTTCATTTTACTTATTTCCTTATTCCCTGCTTACCTTAAGAAATTATTTGAAGTGACTCATAGTAAACAATACATGCATTAGAATTGTAATTGCAAAACCTTAATGCTAAAGTGAATAGATACAATGCCTGAGGTTTCATGTACTTGACCAAACTGGGCACTTTCTCAGTACGTTGCTTGAAAACTGAGAATGTCATTCCCAGCAGAGATTTTGTTACTTGTAGAGCAGAGCCATGGGTTTTTGCAGTTGGAGTTGGTCACTTGATCATTCACTTACTGAAGAGAATATTGATTGTTTTCCCTTTTTATTCCAATAATATGCCTATTAAGTTACCAAGTCAAGTGTCCAGCAGGTAGCAGGTATATGAATCTGGAGCTTCAGGGTTGGGTCAAGGCTCAAGATAAGAGATTTAGGAATGACTGGCACATGTATAGCTTACTTTTTTTAAAAAAAAGATTTTATTTATTTAGAGAGAGAGAGATTGAGCAGGGGAGGAATAGAGGGAGAGAGAGAGAATTTCAAGCAGAGTCCCCACTGAGCGCGGATCCTGGCAAGGCTTGCTCTCATGACCCTGAGATCATGACCTGATCTGAAATCAAGAGTCAGACACTCAACTGACTGAGCCACCCAGGCACCCCTACAGCTTACTTTTAAAGAGGATGTTTTAGCAATATGCCAAATTCTCAGCCTTTATTTTTTGAGGAGCGTTTTTCATATGCTTCCCTAGCATATTCTGAATCTTTGATTTCATCTCTTACCAAGCATCTAACTAGAAAAATGAAGTGTGAACACACTTCTATGTACAGTATAGAGAGACAGTAGATAATAATACTAACTTGCATTTGTTGAGTGGTGGTTATGTGCCAGATACTATTTTGATTGCTTTATGTGTACTAGCTCATTTAATCTTCACAAGTACACCATGACATAGTTACTATTATCCCCATTTTACAGGTGAGGAAATTGAGGCACTAAGTGGTTAAGTGATTTGCCCAATGTTATTTAGTTGGTAAGTGGGGAGGCTGTGATTCATAGGCAGGCAATCTGAAACCAGTCTGTGCACTTAAATTTCTCAAAGATAATTGTTCTGATTATCAATGGTAAGAATCTCATCTCTAAAATAACAATCCTTTATCAATTAAAAGAGACTCATAGTTTATAAACCCTTTTGTTTATATACATCATTGTTGTCAAATTGTGTCTCTTAACTCTTGCTCTCCTAAAGTTTACTCTTCTAGAGAACACTGATTACTCAGAGATACAAATAAGCAGGTATCATTGGGCTTTGAGAACAATCTTCACCAGGAAGTCAAACTTGATCCTAGAGCTCAAGACTCACACACCTGGCTGTCTTCTTGAAGTCTGCTTATTTACTAGGAATGTCAATGCAAATGAAAGCCAACACTTACCCAAACAAAGGCCCTCCTGTCTGATCTATTAAGTCTTGTCTTTAGCTCTAAGTCATCCTGAATACTTTTTTTTTCCATTTTTCTCCTCTGTTAACTCCATCAAAGTACATGTTATCATCCTCATTTGCCTCAACTACTGCAGTAAACTCCTAACAGGGCTCCCGGTTTCTGTCTTATCCCTATTTGGACTGTTCTTCAATTGGCAGCTTGAGTGATCAGATCTCATTCCTGCCTAAACCCTCCAGTGGCTTCCGTCTGACACGTATAATACAACCCAGGTTACTCATCAGGACTGATATCTGCCACATCTTCTACTACTTACTCCCCTGTAATTTATGCTCTTCCACTCACACTAGCCTTTATTTTGTGCCTCAGTAGGCCAAGTTCATTCTGTCTTAGCCCTTTGCAATAGGTGTTCCTTTTTCTTTCTGGGCTCTCCTGTATTTCAGACATCACCAAAAGAGAAGCATTTCCTGGTCAGCCGGTCTAAAGTAGCCATCTAGTTGCTCTATTACAGTATCACATTATGGTAATTCTCAGCAGAGCACTTATCACCAACTTTTATTTGCCTTGTTAAATTATTACATTCTGGTATGATCCCCCACACTAGAATGTAAGCTCCATGTGAGCAGGGATTTGTTTATCTAGTTCTTTGCTGTATAGTCAGTGCCTAGAGTAGTATCTGGGTCCTTGGAAGGCACTCATTAAGAATTTGTTCATTAAGTAATTGATTGTTAATGTTTCGTAGCCACATCTTGAAGACCTCAACATAGGAGTTCCACATCTAAAGAAATTTAGTTAACTGGAAGAATTGTCAAAATCT